CTTTTTAAAAATATATTTTGTTGATTTTTTACAGAGAGGAAGGGAGAGAGATAGAGAGTTAGAAACATCGATGAGAGAGAGCATCGATCAGCTGCCTCCTGCACATCTCCCACTGGGGATGTGCCCGCAACCCAGGTACATGCCCTTGACCGGAATCGAACCTGGGACCTTTCAGTCCGCAGGCTGACGCTCTATCCACTGAGCCAAACCGGTTTTGGCAAATCCACCCCCTTTCACCTTTACTTTCCTACCGGCACCTTCCCTGGCTCTCCCTGTGCCTGCCATTGGCTGCAGGACACCTTGACCGTATATCACTTAGTTCCCGGAACTAGTCAAGTTAGACAACTCCTGAGCTTGCAATTTTTACCCGAGTTGCAGTTTGTCCTAAAAATGACCGGGGTGGGTTGTGTGTGTAAATATATGTGGACCCAATTTAACACAATGCTTATCATTTGAACAATATAAAAGGCAATCAAGGGAAGAATCCCATGCTACGTAAAGTCAAAGACTTCAGACAGGACAACTACACGGGATATGTGATCCTGTACCAGGAGAAAAATGGACTATAAAGGCCATCATTGGAATAGTAGACAAAATTGGAAAATAAGCTACAGATAAAAGTGTTCATCAATATTAAATTCCCTCAATTTGATCACTATACTGTGGTTATGTAAGAGAATAGATTCGTTCTTTGGAAATAGCCATTGAAGTATTAAGGGGAGAAGTCTAGAATATATTCTCAAATAGTTCAGAAATAACCCTGTGGGAGGGGTGGAGGATAGAGAGGCAGGAGGAGGAGAGAGGATAAATGAATGATAATGCAAATATGACCAAAAAATGTTAAAAATTGGTGAGTCTGGATAAAGGGAATTCTTTGTACTATTCTTGCCCTTTTCTCCTAGTTTGAAATTATTTTAAAATAAAAGTTTTTGAAAAGGCATTAGAAAAGAACTGCATTAAGAGTCCTCTTTTTTCCATGAGTTGGCAATTGTTGAAGCTGGATGGATGGATGGTGGGTGCATGGAATTTACTGTGTCAGGCCCGTTACTTCTGTATGCATTTGAAATGTTTTGTAAAGAGGGCATTTACAAAAAGAGAGCATGTTCTCTTTTCACTGGTAGAAACAGAGGTGTTTTGCAGCTGCTTAATTAACCAGCACAGCCATTACAGCTTCCTTACTCAGCGAACATTCCCGATCAGGGTGCCCTGGACTCAGGGACAGGCCCCAATCTTCAACCGAAGGCCTTCGATGAGACCAAGTCTTTTAGAAAGACATCTAGGCCCACTTAGTCTAAATGGCCTAAAAACCAAAAAGATGAGGCCACTGATGAGGTACCTGACAATGGATTGGAGAATGAATTAGGTCAGCTGCAAAAATTGACAAGGAGGCATGAGATCAGTCTTAAAAGAAATGAGGCCAAGCCTTTATTATTTCTTTGCAGCTGCAAGTTCAAACTAAAACAAAAAATAGAAATAACTAAATATCAGAGATGTGTTGCTTCAGGCTGTGGACATTCACTGCTAGCATATAAGCAACTGTAAAAAGGGATCCTGAAAATTCTGCAGGTTTGAAAAAAACTCCCCAAGCTACATCTTTCCCTTCTCATTAAGGTGGATGAACAGAACACGACGAGGCTCCCTTAAACAAGACTCCCTCAGACGTCACTCAGTAACTGAGGCTCCCTGCTCACCTTCATAAACCTTTACTATACCTGCACACGAGTGCGACGAAAGTCTCAAAAGTCAAAGCTGAATTCTGAAAATGCCTGGTTCGAACGCTGCTCTTACCTTCTTCTGCCAGCTCCTTCGTGATGATGAGTTTCCCGTGGCGGAGGTAGTTCAGGATAGGACCGAAGTAGGTGGGGTCTCTGTCAATCAGATAGGCCCCCGTCTCATCCTGCCAACCAAACACAAGGGTGTCACCGTGGCGCTTTCAGACCAAGTCAGGACAGGGTGCCAAACCTGGTCACAAACCATTAGTGAGAGGGCAAGTTTTGCTAGACGTTTGCTAATCACAAACTACGGGCAGGAAGGCTAGTTTTATGTATCTGGTACTTTAACATAATTTAAGGTGAGGTGTTCCGGATGTACAGTCATATCATCTAGGCGTTTACTTCAACTTCTAAAATATTTACTTGGACACAATGACCAATTTCTCTGGCTATTTTTTTTTTAAGAAAGGGAGGAAGAAAACACCATAGTTGTGGTTAAATCTCTGCTTGAGATGGACATTCTGAACTCCCTACTGTCCCTGAATCATATTCCGAATTCTAAGAAAACCTGTTTAGTTGGCAAGGCTCCCGCGCTCAAGGCCAACGTCGGTGGCCGTCTGCAGTGCCAGCTGCACCTTGCACACCCCAGCCCTGTGCCCAGAGGAAGCTTGTTGCTGCCAGGCTTGGCTCTGAGCAGTTTTAATCCTACTCATCTTTACAGTAAAAGAAACAAGAATAAACTGCAAGAAGGGAGGCTTAGGGTAGATAAAAACAACTCCTTTATAAGCCAGGGTTTCGGAATCTCCACTTAGGGCAGGACAGGTTTCTATCAATCTGAGATTTACTATTGCCTGTGGTAAAAATGAAACCGACTCATGTTTACCCAACCCCAAGTCTGTTTCAAGGTAACAGGCTGCATGTTATATGGGCTACAAGCATATAAGCAATGATCAATTGCTTTACGTTGGGAACTGAAAGATGAACGTGTAAAGTTAAAAAAAAATTCAAACAACAGTTCAAACTGGAAATGGGTTAAGTCTCTTGGGTCGTCTCAAGCCTCTGGTTAGCAGCTATGCATCTTGCCCAACAGCATTCCTGTCTTCATTTCCCCTGGATCTTAACCAGGGGTCTTAGGTTGGCACTGGAAATGGTAACCTCCTTCCAAGGAATGGATCTGATCTCAAGGATGGACCTGACACAGTGACTGCTCCCAGCGCCCAGCTCAGGGACCATGACCCCGGGAAAGCAGTGTGATGGCAGCTGTCAAGCCACCCTCTAACCCAGGCTTTCACCCAACTTGGCAGCGGGTCCGAGAGGAAGTCTGAGAAAGCTACAAAGGTGCCTTGGCTCGCCCTGACCCAGTTCTGGATGGATCTGGCACAGGCAGTGAGGGGCTGACGAGGAGCCAGGGGAAAGCTCAGGCGGACCCGAGGGGCTGGGATGGGGTGTGGAGAGGAACACGGAGCCGG